AATTCTGAGAGACAAAATAGAATGGTGCTTGCCAGTGGCTGGGGAGAGAGGAGAAGGGGGAGTTAGTGTTTAAGGGATACAGAGTTTCAGTTTTGCAAGATAAGAATTTTAGAGATGGACAATAGTGATGATTGCACAACAACATAAATGTACTTGATACCACTGAACTCTGCACCTAAAAATTGAAAAGATGGTAAATTTTACGTTATGTGTATTTTACCATGATTTAAAAAAAATATATGTTATTTAAAAAATCACTCCAGAACAAGCAGCACAAACCAGACAGTCCCAGGCAAGCCTGGACACAGACCACCTATGGAAAGATGATGTTACAGGTTTTGGATTTTGAGAATGACAAGAAGCTACTGACCAATTCTAAGGAAGGACATGATGATATTTGAGTTGTTTAGAAAAGCATTTTGACTGCTATGCAGAATTGATGGGGAGGGGAGTAAACTCAAACCCCAATCTTCTGTCTGCAAAGACATTTGGTTACTTAAGGTTATGTAAAGACTCATTTGCTCCCAAGCAGCTCTCCCTCGGCCCACTCTGATGCTTTTGTTCTCGTTACTTCCAATTAATTGCAAGATCTATCTCCAAGAAGTATCACATTTCACAACTTTGGACTCATATTAACAAGATTTTCAACACTGTGAAATAATTATCGATCCTTCTCCTTTATAACCTCTAACCAAAACAGTTTTCAAATTCATTTTCCACTTCCAACTCTTCATAACCTCATCGCTTCATCTTTTGATCTATTCATCCTCTCTTTTTCTGAATTGATTTTACTCTTTGTCTGAAATCTTGCATCTCACTTTTGAGCTTCGTATAACTGTTTGATGAAATGTAACCTCTACTGGCTATACTATTCACTAGTTCCATTAAGCAGTCCCGAAATTTTGCTAGTTTGTAAAAGGTGATTAGTTTTACTTCTTCCTCTGTGAATCTAGGGTACTATGAAAATAGCCCTGTGTATCTATTAATTGCACCAGATTTCAAAAATAAGGTAGGGAGCATTATAGACATGGCAATTTTTATACTGCAAAGATATTTCAATCCAGCAACTTTCAGTGCAATTTAAGGAATCTGCAATTTAGGTTCTATCATGAAGCCCTTTAATGAGAAGACAATCTCTGGGAAAATGAATATTCACTCCTAGCCTACCTTGGAGCAATCTAGTGTTTTCTTATTCACGCCTACAAGTGATTAGAGGAACTGGGAAACCAATTTATCCACCAGCAAATCCAGTCTTCACTTTGATGGGCATTGTTGGATATCATTTGTGCCTGGGAAAGGTAGCCCTTTATATCTTCATTTGAGAACACTTTTGTTGATTTGTATGTCAGATCATTACATGAGAATAAGATGAGAAGGGTATTAAATGGGAATGAACATAGAATTGATTCTAGGTTTGGAAGGATGTGCTTGTGAGACTGGAAATAAGAGAAGAAGGAAACTGAGTGGGTAAGAAATTCCCAAGGTTTCCTCTTACTCTCCTGACTTGTGTCCCTTACAATAACCCTCAAATACAAGCAAAAGAGGGTGGGGAGGAGGCCACTGGACCAACCAAATAGACTCTGTCTGGATTATGCAGAACTGGGTGCTACAACTGTGAGCCATGCAGAACCTAGAGAAGGTGTAAGAGAAACATCTTCAAATGCAAAAAATAGTTTTAAAGTAAGACCACAATGGAAAGCTAAATGATTAGTGATTATTTAGCCTAGAATAAAGGCTAAGGAGAAAAAAACTATTAATTTTCCTCAGAGTTAGAGAGAAGAATAGCTTCTGGCTGAACTTCCACTCTGACAGAATCAGAGAAAATTAGCCCAGCCATAAAGTGCTTAGACTCTGAGCCAGACTCTGAGTCGGGAGTTCTTTTGTATATTTGTTTAAGAACCCATTTTGGATGAGTGTCTTAGTCAGTTCATGTTGCTATAACAAAATACCATAAACTGGGTTGTGTTAACAGCACATGTTTATTTCTTACAGTTCTGGAGACTGGGAAGTCCAAGATCAGGGTGCTGCCAGATTTGGTTCTTGTCCTGGTTCATAGAAGATTGTCCTCATCATAGGTATGGGCAAAGACTTCATGACTGAAACACCAAAAGCAATTGCAACAAAAGCCAAAATTGACAAATGGGATCTAATTAAACTAAAGAGCTTCTGCACAGCAAAAGAAACTATCATTGGAGTGAACAGGCAACCTACAGAATGGGAGAAATTTTTTGCAATCTATCCATCTGACAAAAGGTTAATATCCAAAACCTACAAAGAAATTCAACAAATACACAAGAAAAAAACAACCCCATCAAAAATTGGGCAAAGGATATGAACAGACACTTGTCAAAAGAAGACATTTATGTGGCCAACAAACATGAAAAAAGCTCATCATCACTGGTCATTAGAGAAATGCAAATCAAACCACAATGAGATACCATCTCACGCCAGTTAGAAGGGCAATCATTAAAAAGTCAAGAAACAACAGATGCTTAAGAGGATGTGGATAAATAGGAACACTTTTACACTGTTGGTGGGAGTGTAAATTAGTTCAACCATTGTGGAAGAAGTATGGCAGTTCCTCAAGGATCTAGAACTAGAAATGCTGTTTGACCCAGCCATCTCATTACTGGGTGTATACCCAAAGGGTTATAAATCATGCTACTATAAAGACACATGTACATGTACATTTATTGCAGCACTGTTCACAATAGCAAAGACTTGGAACCAACCCAAATGCCCATCAATGATAGACTGGATAAATAAAATGTGGCACATATATACCATGGAATACTATGCAGCCATTAAAAAAGGATGAGTTCATGTCCTTTGCAGGAACATGGATGAAGCTGGAAACCATCATTCTCAGCAAACTAACACAAGAACAGAAAAGCAAACACTGTATGTTCTCACTCGTAAGTGGGAGTTGAACAATGAGAACACATGGACATAGGGAGGGGAACATCACACACTGGGGCCTATCAGGTGGTGGGGGGCTAGGGGAGGGACAGCATTAGAAGAAGTACCTAATGTAGATGATGGGTGGATGGGTGCAACAAACCACCATGGCATGTGTCTACCTATGTAACAACCCTGCACATTCAGCACATGTATCCCAGAACTTAAAGTACATATATAAAAATTGGCCTCACTATGCCCCAACATGGTGGGAAAGGCAAGGAATCTCTCTGGGGTCTCTTTTATAAGGGCACTAATCCCACCCATTAGGGCTCTGCCTTCAAAACCTAACCACCTCTTAACACCTTCGTTTTGGGCATTAGAATTTCAACACATGGCGTTTGGGGGCACACAGATATCCAGTTCATCACAACAAGGTCAGGAAAGCTTCCTTCTGGTGAGTTTTTAAAGACACACACAAACAAAGATGAGAAGGCAGGGAGAAAGAAAAGGAGAGAGGGTAGAGAGAGAGAAAAGGATGGGGATTTAACTCTCTGATAAATATTAACACGTTTACAATTTTTTAAAAATGGGTCAGTGCAGTGGCTCATGCCTCTAATCCCAGCACTTTGAGAGGTCAAGGCATTAGAATTGCTTGAGCCAAAGAGTTTGAGACCACCCTGGGCAACACAGTGAGACATCCATCTCCAGAAAAATTTTTTTAAATTAGGTGCTGTGGTGTGCACCTGTAAGTCTGAAAGCTGGGGCAGGAGGATTGTTCAAGCCCAAGAGTTTAAGGCTGCAGTAAGTTATAATTGTGCCACTCTACTCCAGCCTGAGTAACAGAGTGAGACCTTGTCTCAAAAAAAAAAAAAAAAAAAACCAAAGGTGACTGGACAAGGAGTTAGGGGAGGGAAAGAAGAGCCAAGATTTGTTAACTTTCCCCACACCCTACACTAGGCCAGAACTTACATAGTATTCACAACACACTTAGATGTGGAGAAGTGAAAGTAGACATTATGATCCTCCTTTTAAAAAGATATCCAGTGAGGAAATTGCTGTACAGAGAAATTAAGCAACTTCCCTAAGGCCACACAGATCACTGATGAACAGACCAATGTTCAACATCAGGTCTGACTGAGCCCAAATCCTATGTGCTTTCATGCCTGCATTAGGGCATGCTGAGGTCAGCAATGGCGTCTGTGGCCCAGGATCGCTCAGTGGCCCAGGATGTCCCAGTGATACCCTAAGGTGGGCCGTGGGCTCGTCTGTACTCCCTGCACTGCTCCTTCACTTTCACCTCCGGTCTTTCAGAATCCTGTACTCCACTAGTTAATTTAAACGTTTATTTCCACTTATGGGTTAATGAGTATTGTAATAGGCAATGTAAAAGACATATCCATGCACAGTAAAAATGCTACAGAAAAATATAAAAGATAAAAGTTTTCCTTCCTTCTCCAGACTCTCCCTTTCCACAGAGGAAATCACTATTAAGAGTTTTGTGTGTGCCGTTCTTGAAAAATATCCTAAGCATAAAACCAGGTCCATATTTAGTACATCTAGCTGGGTAGAGGAACTTGTCTTTATTAATTATGAAGAAAAGAGGAATCTTAATGCCTCTCTTACATTAGAATCTTTCTGATGTTACTATTTTTTAAATGTGTTTCAGGAAAACCTTATGCCTTAACATCTTAAAGAAGTGATCACTATTATGAGAATTTGAGGCATAATAATCATGAGAAAATAATTTATTTTTGTGTTTTTATAATCTTTTAAATGCAACTAATTAATGGTGATTCTTTTGGATTGGGCAATGTAAAAACTTCTTTATATATATATCTTACATAATCTTCACAACAGCCTTACCATTACAGTTTCATAGAGAGGACCCATGGAGTCCTTGGTGAAGACAAGCTTTTCTTTTTTTTGAGATGGAATCTCACTCTGTCGCCCAGGCTGGAGTGCAGTGGCATGATCTCAGCATCTCAGCTCACTGCATCCTCTGCCTCCTGGGTTCAAGCGATTCTCCTGCCTCAGCCTCTCAAGAAGCTGAGACTAGAGGCAGGCACCACCACGCCTGGCTAATTTTTGTATTTTTAGTAGAGACAGGGTTTCTCCATGTTGGCCAGGCTGGTCTTGAACTCCTGATCTCCAGGGAGCCACCCACCTTGGCCTCCCAAGTGCGAGGATCACCAGTGTGAGCCGCTGGTGTCCGGCTGAAGATAAGTCCCTCAAAGTCTTACAGCAATACAGGATTAAGCCAGGAATTGAACCCGGGCAGTAGGATCTCTGATCCTGCATTTCTAACCACAACACAGATCACTATTCATTGCAGAGATGTTACATTCACCTTGGAAAAATGGAGAAAAGAAGAAAAACGACACTCAGAGATTATTCACCCAAATAAAATTCATATTCACATTTACTCTGATCTGTTTCCTACAGTGATTTTCTTTTCAGAACTCCAGATGTAGAAACAGAACCCTGTAACTGATGTAGTTGCCTAGTTTATGAACAGATTCACAATAGGTAAGGAATTCAGTCACTGTCGGTTACACAGCAAATAATAAACTCACCTGAAAAAGGGACTGTTCTGAAAAATCCAGAACTTGCTCTGTCACTAAGTGGAGGAGGGGACTGAGTGGTGCATTTGCTCATAGCTCTCTCCCTAGGGCCAGTTCCAGCAGGAACCTCAAACTGGGGACAGTGGATGAGCCAGCCAGTCATCAGACCTTTGGGAGCTGGGATGGCAGCTGGATGCCAGTGGCCAATCCTCTTTCAGCCCCTGACAGCCAGCTGACCCTGCCCTGCTCCCAAAAGACAAAGAGTGCTCAGTGACACAATCACCAACCACCACCACCTCCTGTTTTGGGTTGACTAAGAACCACAGGGCTGCTGTGTGGCTAAATACAACACAGTCATATTTTGAGTCCTTACCAAGAAAAAAATACTTGTTATACCTGAGCAGCACTGTGTTTATAATTGAATCACTATTCAGGTGGTGGTGGCAGCTAGAGAAATTGATTTACAAACTGTCTAGTTGGGTCTAGGGATTTGTTTTTATTAATTATGAAGAAAACAAAAATCTTAATATCACTCTTAGAGTCTTACGGATGTTACTATTTTTTAAATGGGTTTAAGGAAAACTGACTGAAAAGCGTGAGTTGCAAATAGCATTCTGAGAAAGGTGCTAAGCAATACATATTTCATACCACTCCTGAACGTGGTCAGATATAAATAGCAGCACAAACATTTAAGAGCTATTCTTGCTGGGGAAAAAAAAAAGTAATTAATTGGTGTTACACACAAAGGACTTCTCTATTTATTTATTTATTTTTTTTGGTAACCAGCACAGCTTTAATTACAAGTAATTGTTCTCAAAATCAGGCTGCTCGTAAGTTCTGCATTCTAGACAGTGATTATGCATCAATACCCTAATCTATCACTTTCATTATTTTAGTCATTTGGGTGTGTAAATTTGTATTTAATTCAGACAACAAACTCTGCAGTTCCCACTGTTACTTTCTATGAACATATGCCTTTTTAAGGCACAATAGCGTTGGATGATTTAGATTTACATTCATTTACTTTTACTTAGGAAAATAATGGTACATTATTGTGGGTTTTGCTGACTTCTAGGTAAATACAGTGGCATTAGATGTACAAGGAGCCAGGTTTGTCCCTAGTTAATCAGGAATTTTAGTAGGTGTCTCTATAGAACTGCATTTGTTACTGCGTCGTAATGAGCTGGAGTTTGCAGAAATTCCCCTGCAGAAATCTCCTAGTAAAGTAATAGGGGCCTATTCTTTACCTCATTCAGAATTTGTATATTTCTTCTCTCCCAGGTTAGGCACTAGAAATGTCGCCTGGATTACTGAACTCCAGTACGCTGTTTACTCTCTACCCGGGCTTGGTATGTCTGAGTAAATTTCAAAACAAAACTCAAAAGCCTTGCCAGGACATCTGATGGGAATACATTAGCTCCACCTTGTCCTTGTGGATGACACCACCATTTTGTTTCTGATCTCTTAACGCAGGTAGATATTCTTTATTTCCTATGAAATATGTTTCCTTGAATGCAAAACAAATGGCTATGCCCTTTGTTCCCTTTCTAACTTGCTTTTTGGTGTGATGGTCTAATTGCCGTGCCACGCAGTTTTAAATGAAAAACAAAAATTGAGTTAAAAATTCTATCCATACTTATAAAAAACAAAACAATAAAATGATATCTTTGGTAATCACTTATTTGGTTGAATAACTCTCATAAAACACACACACCCACAAATGTTTTAGGCTACACAAATATAACATTGTGTGGAGGAAGAGATTATTTACAATGTTAGAAAACAATGCCGTTGCCAGAGAAATTTTCTTGGAATTGCAAGGTAGGTCCGATAAGGGAAAATACATTGTATGATGACAAACTATGCTTTATGTATTTCAAAACCTATTTAAAATTAGAAATTTTGAACAAAATTTACATTTAAAACTACTCATTTTCTTTAATTATTTTTAATAAGCTTCCTTGTTAAATGGGTATAATACAGATTTCAACTAGCTCGGAATTATACTGTTTTGTCTGCTCTATCCTATCTTTCTTTTTCAGGTAAAGTTTTTTATTGACATCATGGGAATTTTGCCTAAGCACAAAACTGCCAATAACTTTACAACATTTATTGAGGGACTTCTGCGATTATAGATATTCAGTGAGTATAGGACTCATGATGAAAAGAGAAAAAAAATAAGAAAAAGAAGATGATGACGATAAAGGATATGTCCTCCTGAAAGAATTCACAATCCACACAACAACACATGCACACACAATAACACATGCACACACAATAACACATGCACAAGCACACGGAGCATTTGTTTCAGATAAGTACACGAATATAATAAAACTGGAAAACTGAGATTTTTACAAGCCAAAGGCCCTCTGAAGGTGGAAGGACCAGATTTACATGGAGATTAATTTGGAGAGTTTCTAGAAACATCACAAAATGAATAACATAGATTGTCATCAGATAAAGAAGTCCCAAATTCGATTACATATTTTTTATTTCACAAAGGTTATTTAACCAGTGTTACCAGTGTTTTACTAGTTTTTACTTAAATGAAAACTTTAGAAAGTTGTTTGGGGATGAGGTGGAAGAGACTCTGGGGTGACTGAATGACAAGTAAAGTTCCTAGGCCAGAATGGAGAAATCTAGAGTGAAAGGAAGCTGAGATTGGTGAGAAGACACAGTGCCTGTCTGAACTAGTGAAAACCAAGGCAGGAAGTTCCAGGAGGAGAAGGGATGGAGGAGGGAGAAACTTGTAAAAGCGGGTGAGGCCAGGCGCGGTGGCTCAAGCCTGTAATCCCAGCACTTTGGGAGGCCGAGACGGGCGGATCACGAGGTCAGGAGATCGAGACCATCCTGGCTAACACGGTGAAACCCTGTCTCTACTTAAAAAAAAAAAAAATACAAAAAACTAGCCTGGCGAGGTGGCGGGCGCCTGTAGTCCCAGCTACTTGGGAGGCTGAGGCAGGAGAATGGTGTAAACCTGGGAGGCAGAGCTTGCAGTGAGCGGAGATCCAGCCACTGCACTCCAGCCTGGGCTACAGAGCCAGACTCCGTCTCAAAAAAACAAAACAAAACAAAAAGGCGGGTGGAATTGCTCCAATAGGCCACAGGGCACTAGGGGTCTCACTGGCATTTTCACATTGTGATTACTCTCACTTTCCATACCTTCTCGCTTACGTCACTTAAATCCAGTCACCCAAACCAAAGATTAGTAAAAACAAGGCATATGATAATATTCGTAATAGGTGTTTAGCCTCTGCCTACAGAACCTCAAAGCACATTAATTTAGAGGAAAATAAGCAGTTATCTGACATATTTGGGGGTAGGGAACCCAAGCACTTATTTACATTTTTAATTTCCATTACCCTGTTAGTGAACATTAGCGTGCTGTCTAAAACTGCGGTAATCCGGGGATGATCCTGCCTTTGAACAGGGAGGGAACCATTAAGGGAAACAGCACCTGAGTTGCGGGAGTGCGACGCACTGACTCTGTTTCCAATTATTTACATGAGCAAGAAGCTGAACACGACCACATTCCCAACTGATGTGCTTTTTTGTGTAGCTTTTCTGTCACTGGTGTTGCATATAGTGGGTACTAAGTAAATGATTTTGTATTAAAGAGATTAATTTGCCTCTTTCCAATATGATTTGTACCATATGCAAAACAAAACAAAACAACAACACAAAACAAAAAATAATTCCGGTGACATATCCGTGAACCGAGAGAGTTAACGGGTGAGAGCTTTACCTTTCAAGGCACAGGGAGAGCTAAGACAGAGGTTTTGATTGCATGGGCAGCCCCAGATCAGCCCTTAGCTGGACTAAACACACTTCTAGATATTGTGTTTTTTGCTATTTTGTTGTAAGCAATAGGAGGTCCCTTTGGTAAACATTAAAGAATTATAAGCAAAACAATAAATAGATGTTGTTGGGACTCAGAGAATCTAATTTACAAGTACCCACTTAACGTCTTCAACTATAAAATTCAGATATCCACATTTATTTTTATCATGGCCATGCAAAATTATGTAGAAGGAGAGATGATTTACAATGTCAGTAAACAATGCTGTTGCTAGAGAAATTTTCTTGGGGTTTCAAGATAGGTCACACCATATTTTGGCCATGAAACGAACAGCATGTATAAGTTCTGACAGACACGAAGCAGCTGAAATAATGGTCATACCAAACATAAATGAAAATGATCCATCCTGCATGTACAATTCCAGTGCTTTCAGAGAAATGAGGGTTTTACTACTTTTCCAGATACTGGCAAGTTTTACCCTAATAAAGCCCAGGGACAGTGTGGCAGTGAATCAGGAGAATTGGGGGATAGAAGAATCCAAGTCCCCACACTCTCAGTGGATTTCGGGAACGCCAGGGGAACCGTGGGTCTGTAAAACACATGCTGTCTTTCTGAAGAGGCGTTGTTTCGATCATTCCATAGGTAGAGGCTGCTTTGAGCAATACTTTTGGCGTTACTTTGAGTCATGCCAAACACACTTTGCATCCTTGATTAAGACTTGCACCTCTACGCACTTTCCTGGGCATGGTCTATTCTGTTTCATTATCATGCACCCAGCAACAGACCCATTTCTACTGAACAATTAGAAGGTCATAGACCTGATCAGGAAGACTATGGCCTCCACCTTCAGGAAGCTTACAATCTACTTAGAAACACAACACACACACACCCATAAAGAGATCACAAACCTTAGCAGGGCATGGCGTGCCACTGCAGTCCTGGCTACTTGGCAGGCTGAGGTGGGGGAACAGCTTGAACCCAGGTGTTTGAGGCTGTCGCACCCTGCATCCAACATGGGCAACAGAGCGAGACCCTGTCTTTAAAAACACTAACAATAAATAATAATAATTTTATAAAACTAAAAAGAGACCATAAACTCACTTTCTAGGTGGCCAAGTATATCCACACAAGCAATGGAGAGTACTCACTTTTCAGAGAGCCTCCAGAAAAGGGAGAGAGCTTTTTTCAGACCCAGTGGCTGGGGCACTTTGCAATAGTGCAGAATTTGACACACCACAACGGCTATTATGGATGGACAAGGAGCAGCCAAGAGAAGGAAAGAGGCAGATCTGTGACCCAAGCTGCAGCCCTTGCAATGGGAATAATCCTCATCCTCCCTGTGTGCTGTGTGTGACACGGGCTTCCCCAGCAGGACACTGGCCCAGCCCCTGCTCTACCGGAGGGGACTGTAGCTTTGCTTCACTCTCCCTCCCTGCTCAATCACTGGCTCAGATGACAATCCACCCCAGGCAAACAATGCTCATGCAGAGAAGAAGACAGCCAGGCCAAGATCAAATTTTTCTAAAAGTTTTCTTTCTTTTTTTTTCTACATCATCTCAACCTTCCTTTTTAAATAAATGGACTTGCAAATAGACCTAACTTCAAAGATCTCATTGGTCAGTCTTCACTGTTTATGTACCTGGGCAGGGAACCATTCAAGATATTATTCTTATTTTTTTAAATCTTCTTTTTCTGTCTCTTCAATAGCATCTGGACGATCTTTCCATTCTTGTCTGGTGATAATGAAATCATTAAAAAACATACCAGAACCCTTTTTGCTTATCTCTGTGCCATTTGGAACATATGTGAATAAATTGAACACCACTTGCTCATTGGTTTTCTTTTTTTTCCCCTCTTCCCTTGTTTTTAAAAGCCCTGTTTGAAATCAGTCTCTGAAAGACCCAGCATCTGAGTTACATCTGACGCTGGGAGGTATGCCTCCACGTCGTCCACATGGCCTTGATCTAGACAGCGAGCCACAATCTACCCAGCACATTTTTGTGGCTTAAGTGACCTGGAGTCTGGGGCTTTTCTTTGTTGAAGATTTTCTTCAGGTTTCAAGTTGATTTTACACCAGTAATGGTCATTCCAGCTTGGGCATTGCACAAATAGTTCATAGATGACCATGGGGAATCCAGCTATGCTGTTGGGACTAGTAGCTAAACTCTCTTGGAGGGCTTGACTTAGATCAAAGAGCATCTTTCCCTTTCTTGGAAACCACATTGCCAGCCTTTTCCAGCCAAGGGCCTGCTTGTGTTAAATGAGAAGAGAGAGACTCTGGCTCACCCCAAAAGAGGTCGCCCTGGAAGAGATGGAAAAGGCTTTTCCAGGAGGAGTCTGCTCAAAAGCATAAAAGGGTCAGCCTCCAGCTTATCACTCAAAAAAGTTTTTAAAGCCTTTTTAAGGAAACAATTTTAACCCAGCTGCACTTATCCATCAGTGATTTGATTTTGCTTTGTTAGGAGAGACTCGTAATCTGCTTTTAAATGTTTTTTGTTCCTGGCCTTCTTTGATAGCAAGTTCTGCCTAAGGCTACCTCTCAAACCTCGTCACTGGAGCTTTCAAGTCTATGTGAATAACTAGAATAATTTTAATCTGGACCTTTCTTTATCCCCTACTCCCTACCCACTCCTGTTTGCAGCAGAAAATGTTAGGGGGTTGTAAGAATTTTTTTTTTTTAATCAAATTCTGCCAAACCTAAAACCTATAAAAAGGAATCATTTGTCCTTTAAAAGAGAGAGAAAGCAAGGGAGCAAACTCTATTTACAAAGTCAGAGGGAGTCAACCTGATTTTATTTTCTCAAGTACATTCAGTGAGTCTCAAAAAGAATGCAAGTTCTCCAGTCTTGTCTCTGCTTGGTATAAGCCACAATTAAAAAATACATTTCAGAAATATATCTGAATCACTGTAGAACGTACTTTTTTTTGCAACAGATAGGTTTTATAGAAGCTTTTTTACTTGTAACTTTCAAAGATCGTACTCAGTAATCATGCCTTTCATGACATTGTGAACTATAATTTTATTTCACTAAGCTACCATAAAAGACTACTTGTTTTATTATTATAGTATGCACTAAAAAACAGAACCTATGCTCCTCATTTAACTAATCACTTCTGATATTTCTCAAGCTAATGGGAACCAAAAACACTTACAAGATATCTGTTCGTTGATTTTCTTAATGAAATGCACACCTTTTTTTATAATGTAAGCATATGCGTACACATGTATGAACTTTACAAGTTTATTTAGCGAGAAACCAAATATGTGAGGAAAGCAGACTTTTCAAGTGGCGCTTTAATTGTCATTCATGCATGTTCTACAGATCATTACCGAATGTTTACAGGTCCTGCATGGAATGACTTTACACCAAAGAAGAGGGTAACATATCCTCATTGTTTATAAAAATGACAGCTCCTAATGGACCATATTAGCTTTAACACAAACTATTAAATCTCCTTCATTACTTTTTGCTGTGTTCTGTTTCGGCGTCTCGTTAGCTCTGAGAAGTGGGTGCAAACTCCTAAGGAAACCTGAGCACACATTGAGACGATTAGAGATCATGGTTATTAGATAAGCCTGGGGAGGATGTTTTCCTTGGGTTACTCACAAGCATTTTGAAAGAGTCGTGTTCCAGGTTTGAGGTCCCGTGTTTCTTCCTCTCAAACTATGAGCAGCTGTAGCACATGACCTACTTCTGTAGGGCCCTGTAATGATTTCCTTCCTTCGGAGGCTTCAGGAGTCCTCCTTCTGCCCTGTGAAAAAAAAGGGACAAATATTTTAATCCAAGCAAAATGCTGAAGCAGGTTTTGTTGGTTTCAGGGAAGAAACTCAATACAGCTCCAGCACTGAATGTAGGCCTCAAATTGGAACCATCTGGGCCGCACAAGGGCTCAGAGACCTTTGGGGAAGGCAGAGACAGTCTTGCCTAGGGCCGCAGCCCATACACCTGCAGAGATGGCCGACGTCTGGGCAGGCCCTGGGCTCACCCAGGAACTGGAGCCGCTCCCACGGTGGCAAAGCCCCCAACGCCTGGCATTGCAGTTGGGAATACCACGTAAGAAAAGGTGACAACTGCTCAGAGGACGACTTCCTCCATGAATACTCCTTATAGTGAAAGGAAAACCCCATGATTCTTTGGAACATATTTGACACAAATCAGACATCATTTCCTAATTTTTGCTTTTCAGCAGACTGGCAAGAAAGTCCTCAGGAAACCATAGGTGGGTATACACAATATTTTTAGAGTTATCCTTAACTAGGGAAAGAAAAAGGCTTTTACAACGCAATGCATGCCTGTTCGGTATTCTCCGTATTCTTTTTTTTGTTTAAAGGGTTGTTATGATTATTATTGACTAGTTTTCCTTTTTAACTAAGTGAAAGTGCTTTTCAAGTGTTTTCTAATATCTAAACATAGAAGACTAGGCCAGCTGTTGGAAAGTTATTTTAAATAAAGTATTTTTAAAAATTTTATATTGCGAACTTCCCATGGGTGAGGGATAAGAGTATCAACCCATTTCCAAACATAAAGGATGAGGACTTTTGTCCAAAGATTAGAAATCTTGTCATGTGATTTTAAAACCAGTGCAGAATATGTTTTCTGGAAAGAAAATAGGACATAAAGAACAGATAGAAATTGTACAAAAGTTGTGCATTTAATAAATATATTTTCCAAATATTGGTTGTTGAGGAATATATCATTTCCAGTCTGGGTTTTAAATTATTTCCTGTGGTTAGAAGTGCAATGTGGCCATGATAGAATCCTAAATAATATGACCAAATCTGACATCCTGAGAGTAGAAGCCCCATGACAATCTCAACACCAAGGTCAGAGGATGATTTATTGAGAAAGGATCAGTCCCTGGAAAAGGTGACAATTCAGAAAAAATAGAGGTGCTTGAAATTTTGAGCTTAAATTCCTAGAAGTGTACATTTATCTGGTTTCTTCTAGCTAATCTTTTTCAAGAAGCCAGTGGACCACAGTTTTTTGCTTATTGTAAGTATATTTATTAATTTATTATAATTAAATCTGTTGACTGATGGAAATTACACAGTGAAGACATAGATTATATGTATGATTAAAATGTTTAATTTTTTTTTAAAATTAAGAATTGTCAGCAAGAATACTTTTTTTAAAAAATCCCTGAATAGAAAATAAGTCCAAAAAAATAGTATTTGGACTGAAGGCTCACAGAATGTCTCTCATTTTTAAAAGTTCTAAGGATATATCTGTTGCAAGGTTTCCCAGCACATCGTTAGGGGTGACATGAGTGTACGGTGTTTCGGTTTTGAGCTGTTCTCACATGCACACTTCACCACAAGCCAACTGGAAGGGGTGCGGGAGGGTTGTGTGCGTTGGGCTTACTTTTTTTTGCCCTGTTCCAAATTTATATGCATGAATCTAAATTTTTAACCAAATCTTTGTTCTCTTTCCTCTTGAGGCTGCTTCACACTCCTGCCTACGCACCCAGCTGCACCCAGATAGCTCTTCCTCCCTCCCCACCCCGACAGCCTGCACCGCTGCTCAGCTACAGGGTGAGACTTAATGGAGCTGAGCAGAGCACTTCCTAGCGAGCTTCCTGCAGAGCAGTCAGCCGAGACTGGGAAAGGCCCACCACCAAATGCCAGGAGCCAGGTGAAAATCAGAGGGTCAGCCCTCTGCAGGGGCAGCCTCCAAAAAGCGTCTTGCTGTCATTTAAGGGTATTAGTTTGATACCTTTAGGAAGGCTTTGGGTTTCTCTAGAACACAGCCACTGTCTCATTCATATCGCTCTGCGAGAATGTCTGTATTCAGTATCGGGGCTAAGCTGACCCACCAACTCCATCAAGTTGCGAATTTCTGAAAAGCATCAATACCCAGCCTCAGAAAAGTAAGAAATTCTGCCGTGTCTTCACACGTATTTTTATTTTTACTTTATTATTACTCTTATTATTTTTAGAGAGAGTGCCTTGTTCTGTTGCCCGGGCTGGAGTCCTGTGGCAATATCCTAGCTCACTGCAGCCTCAAACTCCTGGGCTCAAGTGATTCTCCCGCCTCAGCCTCCTGAGTAGCTAGGACTACAGGCGTACCACCATGCCCGGCTAATGTTTCATTATTTTAGAGATGGGGATCTCATTATGTTGGCTAGGCTGGACTCAAACGCCTGGTCCCAAGTGATCCTCCTGCCTTGGCCTCCAAAAGTTCTAGGGCTACAGGCATGAGCCACTGTACCCAGCCTTCCTGAGTATATTTTTAAATAAGGGTTTCGTATCTTCAACATAGCCCCTAAATTAAAGCAGTGATTATAACCATCACACGGCAACTAAAGCCAACGTTCTGATGGTTTTATTTGAAAAGCACCATTCTCTACAAATGGGAGCTAATCAATAAAAAATACACATATATTTGAGAGAAAAGCCCACCCTGTCCTCAGGAAAAGCAACCCGTAGAGAATGGGCAATTTCAGATTGATTTATGAACTGGGAAAGTACTTCTGATTGTGTTTTAATTTTGTCTTTGGCCAAACTGGTCAGGAGGTGATGAAGACTGACTTCCCAGCCCTTGGCTGCCAAATCTTAACTGCCTGAAAACTTACAGAAATGCTTGATTAAAACTAGAATAAAAATCTCCAGTTGCCTTCAGCAAACCACAGCACAAGGGTGGGAAAAACAGTGCCAGGTTGCAGTTTAAGTATAGTTACTTGGCGCCTGCTGAAAGTACTGCTCCCTTCCTGTTTAATAATTAATTCAACTTTAAAGCCCCAAGGATCTGGACTCAGCACCAGCTTCACAAAGCAGTACAGAAACAAAATGCTTCCAGAACTGGAGGGGGGGATAGAGGAAGAAAGAATCTAACATTTCAAGAAACATCACCACATGGGGCCGGCAAGCAGGGGGTGGGGTTTGGAGGTGGAAAGATCCAGGGTGGAGAAATTCAAAATAAAATAAATACACACAAAAGCAAGGTTATTCACGGCCACTGGCACCAGGACCGGGAGCGGCGTAGCGAGCCGGAAGTCATCCATTTGGGAGGCAGGCAGGGTGCCTGTAGGCTAGTGGGGCCGAGAGGGTAATGGGCTCAGTCTCCGGAAAAGGAGACCCAGCCTTGCTCTTCAGCAGTGGCCTCTGCTCATTAGTCAGCGCATCGTGCTGGAAAAGGCATCCAAGGTGGGCAGTCATCCCTGCCTTCGCGCTCCTCTCCCTCCACCCCACCCCACCCCACCCCACCCGCACAAGTCACCCTCCAGGGAAAGGCCAGATAATGCCCGATGTGAGGGCGAAAACCAAGAAAGTTCCCAGGCTTAAATATTCAGCCACAGAAGTTAACACCCAACACAGCAGCAGATAACTGCAAAAGCGTGTCCCCTCCATCCAGTGGGGCACCTGCACTGTGCTTTGTGATTTTTCTAAGTTGTTTGCTTTCTCTAAGCTGGTGAGTCCAGCCAGGAAAGTGATGCACTGTAGATGCCGAAAACAGGCAGAAGCTGCTTAAGAGCTGATCAAATCTCTTATCACACACAAGATAGGAGGAGGAATGTGTCCAGAACGACTGCAGCAGACCCCCCTCCAACCGCACAGTTCAGTATGAAACCACACGGACCGTTCTTCTGTACTCCAGGAAACCTAAGTATCCCAAAGCATTGCCAAGAGATGGTCTCACCAGAAATGAACAGATTAATTAAACAAAACGAAGGCCCAAGTGGCCAGAGGAAAGAGGAAAGCTATTTAAACCCAAATTGTATTTACTTTTTGCTTATTTTTATTATTATAAAGAGTCATGAGATAGAACACTCACACACATCCCCTGAGATTCCGGTTGGGTATTTTGAAATAGACATTCACATAATTAACTGGTTGAGTTGAACAAATAATAACCTGAATACTTTCCGTAATCCTTAAAAAATGGATGTTTTTAATACTCTGCGATTGCTAAAACTAAACAAATTTTCTTTATATTTTACTTTATACATCCATTAGTTATAAAACATTTGAAGTACATTTCCTTTGTATGTTTCCCTCCACTGCAGATTGATGGTGTTGCCTTAAAAATGTAGCAGCTGTATTTTAAAAATAGGGTTTTGCATTCCTCTTGACTGAGTTCCTAAAACTATGCCAAACTCAAGTTTGAAACTAGTTTCCAGTTATTAAACAATTTCAAAACCAGAAGGTCAATATGCTTTTCTCTATTTTTGAGGTAGTGAATGTCTAGTTGCTGCTTTTTTATTTTTCAATTTCAAGTTTGGTTTCAAGCTCATGCCCCTGTTTTCTTACGAAGCTCATTGTCCTAGACAGTGAATCCTTCCTCACAGTAACATATTCCTTTGTGATGAGAATAATTATCTACCAGTGTATCTTTTTTTTTTTTCTTTTTTTTTTCTGAGACGGAGTTTTGCTCTGTCGCCCAGGCTTGAGTGCAGTGGCGTGATCTTGGCTCACTGCAAACTCCACTTCCCAGGTTCACGCCATTCTCCTGCCTCTCCCGAGTGGCTGGGACTACAGGCGCCCGCCACCACGCCTGGCTAGTTTTTTGTATTTTTAGTAGAGACGGAGTTTCACCGTGTTAGCCAGGATGGTCTCGATCTCCTGACCTCGTGATCCGCCCGTCTCGGCCTCCCAAAGTGCTGGGATTACAGGCGTGAGCCACCGTGCCCAGCCCAGTGTATCTTTTTTAAAAAATAAATTTGGATATTTCTATGAGACAGTGTGTTGTCATGGAAACAGCACTGGACTATGAGCCAAGCCAGCCTCTGGGCTGGTCCAGCACTAGCTGTACATCCTGGCAAGTTACAAGCCCAAGGACACATCCCTGAGTGTCAGTGTGTACTGCTGCTAAAGGAGGAGTTCTTGGTGCTTCTCTCCCTGCACTGTGTCTGCAGGGAACCCCTTTTCAGGGGTGGGAAGGGAAGACTCACACACACACAGCCCACTCTAAATCAGTCCAGACTGTGATGAGTGCTGAAATGGAACCATGAATTAAATGAACCAGAAGATCTATAAGGCCTGCCCAGCTCCACAGATCTCTGATTCCATGTGAATCATGGATTCACCAACTGGGTTATGCCCAGTCACTGGCCTCACTCACTCAATGCTCACCATGTCCTGCTCACCCCTGTCCAGCCTGGCCTTCTTTATACAATCCACGGGGATTTGGCGGTAGTAGGTAATTTGGAAGATTAGATTAAATAATTTGGAATATACCCATGGATATAGATGTGCCCTAAAAAAGGGAAAAGGTGTGGCCCCATGATTAAAGAGTGGAAATCAAGCTTAACTCTTGGGTAATCAGCATATGTGTAGGGCAAGTGTATTCTATTCAAGATTTACCCACAAGAGGCAAAAATACTGTGTCAGAAGTTAGCAGATAAAACAGGAATATGAAGAAAATAGCACAATTTTTTTTCTACCTTTTTGTGATCCTCCCTCCCCATGGTTTGGAAGATTTTGTGCTAGTCCTCAAGTGTGGGCCCTAGAGACTGATGGGACAGGGGTGTTTACCTCAGTTTTCTCATCTGAAAAATGGGGATTTCAACATCAGAAGGATGCCTTGATGATTATCTGAGTTAATATATGTAAATCTCTTGGTAGAATGCGCAGAATTTACCAAGTTCTAAGTTGATGTCAGCCATTATTATTGAGTTAGGAGAGCTTTGTATTTTGTTGTTTTGTTTTTGTTTCTGTTTTTGAGACAGAGTCTCACTC